ATAATTGCGGGTTAAAAAAAAAAAATAATAATACCATAACAATTCAATTATTATATATAATTTATATAATATTATCTATCTTTATTTAATATTTAATAAAATTATATATTAAAAAAAATTTTTTTTTGTCTTTAACTAATTGATAAACTTGATTATTTATAAATTTAAATTTGAAAATCTTTTTTATAATTTTGAAATATTATATTTTTTATAAATAGTGGATTTGCTTATTATATTTTTTCTTTCTGTGTCATATTATAAAAGATTTTGTTTAATTAAAATAAAAAAAATTATTGTTAAAAATTTTATTAATTATAATAATAAATATATTAAAACTTTGATTTTACAGTATTTAATATAGTTATTTTATCATTTAATAATTTAAATAATGATCAAAATACAATATAATAAGAATATTAATTATTTATTTTTTAATATTATGATTATATCTTATAAATAAAATTTATTGAATTAAAGAAAATTATTTTGTAAACTTTGTTTTTATTAATATTATTATCAATAATGTTATTAAAATATATAATTTAAAATTATAAGTATGATAAAATTAGATTTTAAAATTTTCAAAAAATAGAATTGTAGTATAATAGAATTATCATGTTTTTTAATAATAATTAATAAGATTAATTAATAATAGAATTATGTTAAAATCATTATATATAGTATGATGCATGTATAATTAAAACTAATAAAAGTTTATTGTTATATTTCAATAATTAATGTGCCTTATATTAAGCAAAAATTCAAGATTAAATCGAGGTAAATCAAATTATTCAAAAAACGTAAAAAATTTTAAAAAAATCAAGACAGTTTATAAAAAGAGAAAATGAATCCTTTGATCATAATAAACTTTTACAAAAATTTTATTTTAAGATAAAAAGTTTTAAATACTTTGTAATAATAAAAAAATTTTTAATGACTTTATTATCATTATTATTATTGGAATTTTTTTTTTTTTTTTTGACTATCAAAAAACCAGTTTTTTTGATAAAAAAAAATTTTTTTTTTATAAACAAGAATAAAGAGATACTATCATTTTTGAAAATATTCATTATGTTGTTTAAAAGGTAGTTAGCCGTTTAATCACAATTGATTCTTTTGCAAAACGGATTGTTAGGTTAAATAAAATTATAATAAAATAGAGAGGGAAGAGAGAAAGAAACCAGAAACCATGCAACTGTAATTATTGAAGGAATTGTTTTACATCAGGTCTTTATAAAAAATTGATTTAAATATTTATTTTAGCTTTAAAGTACAAATAATCGATTTTATATTTGCACTGGTTATTTAATTTTCATAAAAGCCATTTATATAAATATGCGGTATGCTTTATTTATGGCTGAATTAATTCCTTGCGATCAAATTTTTCAATTTAGAATTTTAGAACAATTCAATGATTTCAACAGTAACTTAAAAATGAATAAATACAATAAATGAATGAATCAAATAATTCACCACCACCCAAGTATATTTATTTATGATAAAATAAATCACATTAATTGAATAGTTTGTTACAGAAACGAGCATCAGGTCATTTTTTTTCAGATATCATCAGCCCAGAAAATACATGCGTGATAGAAAAAAAAAATTAAATAAAAATGGATTAATAAAATCGGAAAAATCAATCTTCCAAAATACATGATATTAATCGTCTGATGAAAATTTCGAATTTCTTCACTACCCATTAAAAAAAAAATAATAATAAATAGATAAAAATGATGGGAATAGATGTTCGTGAAAGGATACACACAGTTCGAGCCGGTATCTCGGCCGATTGTCTTTGTTGCCACGTTTTATTATGAATACATGATTATATTCATATGCATTCAATGCTGTATTCATTTTCATTTTCTTTCTTTTTTTTCCTGCCACCGATCCCACCTCGTACCTAAACTAAATAAATAAATTTTTTTGCGTCCGAATCGACAAACCTACATTTTTGTTTTTTGTTTATATATTTTTTTTTTTTCGAAAAAAAAAAAAAAAAGAAACGAAAAGAAACAAACAGTTTCGCATGTGCTGCATTTCGCAATTAACGTGTTTCGTGCGAAGAGTGAGAGGAAAAATCTGTAAGTACATGGTATGCTAAAGTATGATGCATTAATTAAATATAAAAGGCCTACCACGTAAACCAAGAGATCATGCCACCACGGTGGTTAGATCATTCTCATCTGGCAAGTCAAAATTACCGTCCGATGGCATCCTCAGTGCTGCCACAATCTCGGCCATTGGATCTGATGATATGGGCGATATTTGTGATGACGATTGCCTTGATGATATTTGTGATTGCGGCGAATTAGGTGTGGTGATTGGTTGAGGTGTTGACTTTCTCTACGATCGTAAAGAGTTATTAGGATCGTGCGATTGTGTGCATCGAAATGCTTTCCGCAATCGGATTGGAAAACCTTACCTGGGGCGTTTTTGAGGATGAGACGCTCGAGGAGTCCAGCCCCTCCGAGGTCATGTTTAGTTTTGCTTCTGTTGAACTTAATTTAGTGGAGTCCGTTATGTCGAGATTTATGGTTCCAGCTATTTCCGACATAGCAGACCTAATTTTTTCTGGCTGATAAACGAAATTGGTGGTTAAGTTGTGGCCAAAGGAAAAAAAAGAACAATCGATGAAAATGCTCACATCCACTTTTCCACTTCTCATTTCGGCGATTCCGATATGACCGGTGTGCTGTGATCATAATAAATTTACGGATTACGTTCGCACTCGCATGAACCCGAGTTCTTTTTTTTTTTTTCTTTTCCCAAGCAATGTCAATCGTACCTGAAAGTTCGCGGGCAACCCAATCAAACCTTTGTGAATCTTCTTGGGCCTCCTCAACACCTTAGTGTTCCTAGCATTATTGTAATTACTACTGGGTCCCGTGGCTTGATTTCCATCGTGAAATCTGTTTACCTTTTTGCTACTGTTGTTAAGTTGGGCTGAGCTGATGCCCACGTCAACATCTGGAGTCGAAGAAATGCAGTTTCCCATTGTTGTTGCAAGTTTTTTTTTTTTTTTCTGAGGTCGGTTGGTGCTCACGGTTCGCCTCGAGTCTCGGTGAAAAATTGAAAAAATATTCAGATATCGTTAGTAGTTTTTGCAAATATATATAAAAGTGTGTATGTGTTCACGTCGCTATTTAGACTATTTTAAAGCAGAGTATGTATATTTATCAAAGTTGAAGGAAAAAAAAAAAAAAAAAAGAGTATTTATTTATGCGAGTATTTAAATTCCCAATGGCCTCCCTGTCAACGTTAATATATTAATTATTAATTAGAAAATAAACTCGAAGAGCTCAGACCAAAACGGGAAATATGTGTGTGTGCGTTTGATGAACGAAAATTTTTTATTCACCCAATATATAAAAAAACGATGTGAGAGAATAAGAAAAAGGTTTCAAATTATATTAAAAAGAAAATACACAAGGAGATTGATTATATGTGCGCAGATTTCAATAAAAATTATGAACCAGAATCCTGAAATAAAGTTTCAGCCTTTGAGAGAAGACATGAGAAAAAAATTTTTTTTCTTACTCTTTTTTTTTTTTTTTTTTAAAAAAAAAAAAAAGAAAGGACAGCGAGACTTTAAACAAAGTGCTAAACTATTGCAGGTATGGTCTGAATGGTTAAGTAAGTTCGAATCCAACCAGCAATTCTTTGGTGTGATGAGAAAGACGTAATATTTGTTAATTTAAAAATAAAAGACTTTATCATAGGTGAGGCCTTGTTAACAGAAGGTATGCACCTGCATTGCCTTGCACTCGCACAAATGTGGTGACAGAGAATAACAACAACTAGTAAAGGATTTTAAACTTCAGCACAACACAGACGTCGAAAATCAAAATATTATCACGACATGTGCATGACATAATTTGTTCATAGTCATATTGTAGAGGGGGTAACCTTTTTTTTACATCAGAATAAATAAATGTCGAAATGGGGATATTTCTTTGTTCACAGGTTTTACTTTTCTTCTCAGATATTCTACGGCTAAGACGGATGATGAAATGGAATGGAAAAAGGGGTGGGGTTGTCAAAAAACATTAATCGGGGAATGAGCTTTTCGGTTATTATACGGTACATGCGCAGCCGTGATAGAAATACGTCTGTCTATACCGTATGTTGGTCAGGGGCTTGGCCAATCATATGTTTTACTATTATTAGTCGGCCGCGTGAATATAATCGACCAGAAGGATCCACTTGATGTGTTGTCCCTTTTGATCAAAGAACAACAGCGCTAAAAGGCGAACATCTAATAAAACCATAAATGATACAAATTATAACTAAATAAAGACAAAAGGTGAATTCAGAATGACCCCAACTTTAGAGTCACCGAGTGTTACTCGGAATCCCTTTGCGTACGTACATAAGTACATAAACACTTAAAGTGCGAAACCTCCACGATCTACCTTCAGTCTTGTGACCGTTGATCCGGGTTACAAGAAAACGTCACTGTTTATCGCGATGAAATTGCGTGACAAACTAAGCATTATTTATGGCATGTGTGTATAAGCGAAAAGGAATATGGAAAAATAATTTATCATACCGAATTGAGCGCAATCGCAGTCTTATTTGGAAGAAACGATTCAAATAATCCATTTACAATGAATCCTCACCAAAATGGGCTTATGATTATTTCGAACCTTGTCCATACGTAATCGGATGTTTCGGGACCATTGTTTCTGTTACTCTCGAAATATGTCGCATAGCGCGCATTCCGATTGGATCGTTCGAACTCACTTTCGGCTGCCAAACATGAAATGGTGAAGGTCAATTATTAGGATACATTATTATAATTTTGATTCCTGGGGGGGGGGGGGGGAATAATAAATGTACGATATGCACCAGCATGCCCTAAAAGAACACATGCTGGTATATCCATTAGGTTTGGTGCGTATGTTACATGCTTGATTGTTAGGTGACATTGTTTCTTCCGATTGTTTCTTGATCAGTCTCGCTCCACTTACGCCTTTCTGCATCACAATTATGGTTGAACCGTAGCATCTCTGTCACTTCGATGTAAGAGTCAATGTCTTCAGATAATAGGGAACCATCTGCCATTTGAAATTTACGTATTGTACTGTATTACACCTACGATCGATGGGTTGTGTCTGAAACTGTCTTTCGTGCCGAACGCGTTTTTGGAAATTGTTGTAATTCGATAAAGGATTGGTTCGTCATGGATTTTGTCGCACATCGAAATACCGTAAGTGCGGTATATTTATCCAGAAGTATTTGAAATGATGTGCATACGGCACATGAGCATATTGTAGGAATTGCCCGATTTTCTGCGTGCCCATTTTTTCTATTTTTTCTATTTTTTCTATTTTTTTTTTTTTTTTTTTTTTTTTTACATTACATTTATTTTTTTTTATTTTTATTTTCCCCTACTATTTATTCTTTAAAAAAAAATTTTTTTTTTTTTCTTATAACCAAGTAAGGTAGGCATTAATGGCGCAATGTCGCCTTCTCAATTGTTTGCACATACACACAACCGTATCGCGCATGCGCGTTTCTTGAAACAGCAAGACACTGTGATAGTAAACAGCTTTGCACGTGATCCAAGATGGAGTAATTATTTTTTTGGTGTCATTCTTATCATCCTTGACACACACATGTGATGCGATTATTAGTCATTGAGATTGGGAATGAAACGATTCATCCTTTGTGTAATTTTCGCTTTTTTTATTCCCTTGTTCAATTTTTTGACCCAAAACGCTGATCAAACAACTTCTTTTCCCATTCATTATACAGTACCTATGTGTATGTCACTTCTCGAGATCCGTGCTCCTTATCGAAATCAGCAAAAAAAAAAAAAAAAAAGAAGGATTACAAAGGAATCATTGATCACTCCAACATAAAGCATTTCTGTTTCGAAAATGTCAACAGTTTTTTTATTAAATTTCGAATTTTAGGAGTAACACAAATGTGCACCACACTGTTAATGTTGGTAATAGTTCGACACTCTTGATTGGTTAAAAAAAATTTTTCTTTCTTTTGAATAACGCGTGGAGTAAAGGGGGTTTTGTTTTTTATTTGGGATTATCAGTTATATGCAATTATTATGCAGAATGCTAGAAGGTGATGCAATGAAAAATGCAGGAAAAATGCTAAGAAGAAATGCAAGAGAAAGAAAAGCAGAGAGAGGGAAAAATGATTGTTCGTTTGAAATCAGTTAATTGAATCCGAGACTATTGAAAATATTTTAAAATTCGAGCTCGGCAGCCAAATAATTTTCAGGTCCCTTGGCACTGCATTGATTATATATACACTTTTTTCGGAATTTCTTGTTCCTCGCTTTCACCAACGATCTCGTCCCCACCATCAGATATTCCCTATATCTCTTCCATAACGAACCCTTCAACCCTTGATCGACCATCCTTCGTGCCAATTCAATCCAGCTTGGCACCGTCAGATCCTTCATGCCGTAGTCATTCCACGTCGTGTATTCTACCTCGAAGGTGGGTGTCTTGTTTGGGTACTTGTTGGCCTCTGTGAGATTGAGGAAGTATTGGGTATATCCTAATGGCGTTAAGAATGTGTTGATGTGCAAAGGTGCGTCAGGATCGTGTCCCTTGGGAGATTTGTTTCCCTTCTTCTGAGACCTGATGTCATCGTCATCATCATCGTCGTCGTCTTCTCCATAATCATGCTTTCTTGGTGATGTAACTTCGGTGGTGTTATACTTGACGATCCTTAATGCCGGGTAAAATACTGGGATTATGGATGGATTAATGTGAATCACGGCATAATCTTTGGCGACGGCATCGGTAACCGGAGGGACGGTTTGATATTGGTTGAGAAGCTTGTTCAAATAATTGTCGATGTCGGATTCGGAAGAAACTTTCACGGAGGACTCCTCGTTAAAGTTGTCTTTCGGGGACGATGATTCGTTGGAATCAACTCTCTCATATAAATCATCATAATCATCTTCATCCTTGGTAAATATGATTTCGTCGTTTGTATTATTACGATTTTTGTCGATGACATTGGCTCCAATGAAGAAGAAATGATCCATGTTCGAATGTCCATAATAATGACCCAATATTATTTCGTGATACTTTAGCGCCAGTTTCCCGTACTTTTTGTAACAGGATGAGGAGTATTGTTTATGTCTCGGGGCGACATGACCTGTCAAGTAGACTTTCATTCCCCGTTTTCTTGCCTTCTTCAGGACACCGTTCAACCATTTAATTTCCGCAGTTCCCGGTTGCTTGGGATCTTTGCACCCATTTACTGCTGTGTTGGAGTTGTAAAAGTACATGGTGTTTAAAGAGACGACCAACAATTTATTTGGTATCACCTCGGTATAATAATATCCACCGTGAAGGAAGGTTTTACGCTGATCGTGAGGAATGAAGGGGGACCAGATATCTTGAAGGACTGATAGCACATCATTTGGTCCAGGAGGTAGGATGTTGTTAGGGTGGATATCGTGATTGCCTATGGATGGAATTATTGGTATAAAGTGCGGTGCATGTTTTTTGTGAGGTAGCCGAGTGTTGGCAAACGTTTGGAGAAATCTCGAAGTTATCATTCGATTGAGCTCAAACAACTCTTGAGGACTTCGCGGTATATTCTCATCATTGTCGTGCCTATGTTTGAGGATTCAGGAAGTTCAAAGTTAGGCCTCGCCAAGGAATTATGTACATACTGTATATATGTGTGTGTGCGTGCGTGCGTGCGTGCGGAGACGACGAATTTACCTGGAATTGTCGCCAGTCCAAATTATAAAGTCCAGTTTATCTTTCCAATTGTTCTCCAGCCATTCAAATGTCGCATTTATTAAGCTCATCGGCGAATCGCAAACTGTCGCCGGTGACCCCCAACTGCCAGCAACACCTTTGGTCATGTGATCAGGCTTCTTTTCTGGAGAAACTATTCCATGACATCTCGTCTTCACCAAGGAGTCTGCTACATAGTGAGGATCAGGATGAAGGTCGGTGATGTGCAAGAAATTGCCGTGTAGTCTATTCGGCTGCTCTACTGGTTTCGACGACGTATCCAAGTCGAGATTATATATCCATGCGGTTACGAGAAACATCGATATTGGCACCACCAATATTAGGAATTTCGTTGCGACCAACATCGTTTGTGTGGAAGTTGACTCGCGAAAAACAAGATTTTGTGTAGAGGGTCTCAAAGTTTCAAGCGCTTTTAAATGGATGAATGATCAACGTGACATATTCCAGAGAAACCTCGGAAATATCTTTTGATTCTTTTTATTGCATCATCTCACAGATTACACAGTCAGTCAAAAAGTAAAAAGGTATGACATTTTTGGTTGAAATTGGGCGTGAAACATTTTGCATTTACCTTTTATGTAGTAAATCTGATATATGCATGAATTGCGTAACGTATTATTTATTGAATCAAACCATAGAAAAAAAAGGTTTATGTCATCCACCGTATTAACTAATGTCCACAGGTTTGGTCGCGTGTTTTCACATTACGAAATGTGGCGAATTTAGACTTTTGGTTGGTTAGTATGAACTAATAATTAATAATTCATTATCTGCTCATCGGTTAATTTATTATAAGGGAGAGGGGACAAGGGGGTGGTTGGTTGATAAGGGGTAATGATTTGAAATTCATGATGCGCAAGCATGCATGTACGTACACAAATGCATACATGAGCATAGTATTTCTAGTCAAATCTTTTTTTTTTTTTTTTTTTTTTAGGGATCGGACACAAAGCGCCGATAATCGCAAATTTAGATGTTCTGGCCATTTAAAAAAGGATAGGAATTGATCCTCGGCATACCATTTAACTCCGCACTCGCTCCTTTTATCTTTCCAGTATCCAAACACGGGAGTCTGTGGATCACGGGGCACTCGATATCATCGGTGCCGAGCGTTTTGTAATCCAAGGAGAATTCCAAGTGCATCAGCGCGCGGCATAAAACAAGGTCTCGAGGATTCCAATCTTGCCTCTGTGGTGAATGAGATGGTAACACCGGAAATGGCTGACCCTGTCGAGGCCCAGTAAAGGTAAGAGTCGGAATATCCTAAGGAGTGATTCCTATTTTTCCTCATTTTTAGTGCGGCGTATATTTCAGGTGAGATTTCCGGCAAATAAAAGGAGTTGAGTTAGGGCGGCAATGAAGATCCTATGACCGGATTTGGACAACAATACTGGTCTGATAGACAATGATAACCTGTACCTCAATGAAGTTGCCGGAGATTATTTTCAATGGGAGGAATATCATCCAACCAAACATAACGTGCAATAATTAACGACATAATCGATCGTTAGAATACTGTATACTTTACAGTACGATGTTTATTTAATAACAATAATAATATATTGGTATATCATGCGTGTAAGGCTTAGATAAAATTGATCACATTCAAAGAAAAATGGTTGTGGGGCGTGAAAACTTCTATAATGCAAACAATAAAAACTTCACGGCACTCGCGGTAGTAATTGCATTGATATTTTATATTCCAAAACAATTGATCTAAAAACAATAAAGTTTTTTGTATAAAAATCTTATTATTAACCAATTAAATTATTTTTGGATATCATTTTATTGCAAAAAAAAAAAAATAATAATGACAAAACAATATAACTTTTATCATCTATTTGATTTTTTTATTTATTGATGTTTAACCTACTGTACTTTTTTTTTTTTAACCTGCAATCATGTCACAATGGCTTGTCTTTATTAAGAAATTAAAACAAAACCTACAATAGTTTATAGACTTTCACAAAGTGATTAATTTGTCTTCATACTTAAGTATTTTAAGTCAGATCTTGAAAACAATTTTATACTCCCCTGGCAGATTGGTAATAACCTCTATCTTTCAGGATCATTGCCAACAATTTGTCACTGTTGATTGATCCAAAAATCAATGAATTGATAGGTTAAAAAAGGGAAGAGAAAAATCAATTTGGGAAAGGAAACAATTTAAGATTTATCAAAAAAATGCAAAAATAAGAACAATCTCTTCTTAAAAGAGATCTGTCTGATTGGAATAGTCTCCTTGCTTTACTTGAATCTTGAAATAAATTTTCTTTTTCACTACCTGTAGAATTGAACAAGTCAATCCAATTGATCCTTAATTTAAACTAGTATTAAATTGGAATATCTCAAGAAAAGTATTTAAACCTCAGTTTTTTTCATTAAAGCTTTGTCACTACCCAAGAAACTTAAGTAAGAGATAGGAGTTTACAATTCATATTACCCATTATTTGGTCTTTTGGTGTTATAGAAGTTTTCATTAAGGGACTAGAGTTTTTTGGAAGCAAACATTTTTGAAACATTCTTTCTAATCACTAATGATATCATTGAAATATATGAGTGTGACCAATAGGAGTTTGTTTATATTCCAGAAACTAATGTGTTTCATGTCAACCAATCATATTTGATGAGAATTTGTGCTATCAAAAATTTAGGATCAAACTGAAGTAGACAAAATTCTCTAGAAAATCATAAAAATAAAAGTTCTAAGAGAGTTAGAACAGTTTAAAAGAAAGAAAATAAGCCTTTTAACTACAACAAAACCTATAAATCTTTCATTTCAAAAGTTAGAAAGATCTTCAAGTACTTCATAATTGGTTCTTCTTTCTTTGGGAACTTTTTTGTCATTGATATCAAAGGCATTACTTGACTTTTTTTAGTTACTAGAAGTCAAGTTTTTGGGTAAAAGGTTTGTAAACAATAGAGAAAAGATAGAAATGACTCTTGAAATTAGACTTCAAATTGTTTTATGGAAAGTGTTAAACTTTATTAACAAAGAAGTAAAAAAAATTCTTGCAAACATCTTTTTTATATGTGATCAAAGGATTAGCAGAGAGAGTTTTTTGTTTAATCTACTGTACTATATACTATATTTTATTAAATAAAATATTTAATGAAATTTTTTTATTATATTTTAATTAATTAATTTAATTTATTGATTATTTTTATATATACTTGTATCTAAATTTATTATAAATTATTTTAGTTCATATAGTATATTTAATTAAACTAGTTTTAAAATCTTAATAATTAAAGTTAAATTAAACTCTATTTGAAAAAATAACAATAATTTAAAAAATATATAAAAATAAAATTTATTAATAATAAAAAAAAAAAACTTTATGTATAATTATAATTAGTAATTAGTTGAATACTAATTTTAATACTAATTCTTAATCTTTTAAAAAAATTTTTTTTTTGATAATTTTTGAAACCAGTCAAAAAATGAGAAAAATAAAAAAAATTATTTTTATAATCAAACAATTTATAAAAATTAAATTCAAGAATACTTTACAAAGTATAGAAAAAAGTAAATATTTATAAAATTATCAATTTCTACTACTATATAAATTTTTTCTTTTAGGAAGAAAAAAACAAAAAGAAGAATTAAATTATAATAAATTTTTGAAAGTTCAATATCAATCTTATAAAATTCTTAGTCAGATCAATATAGATTAATAATTTTTTAGATATTATAAGAAGTTTCACAAGCAATAACTTAAACTAATAAATTAATTCAAGTTCAAATATTTATAAAATCTAGAAGAATTTTTAAGTTTCATTGACTATACATTAAATAAGTATATATTGTTTTTTTTTTTTTTAACCCGCTGTCAGGCTAGTTATGTGCGCTTTATTAAACAAAAGTAAACTATACATACATTTAT